AGGATAAATTTCAAACACTCCAACTCAGTATTGAAAACTTCATCTTTGCATTCCCCTGGTGGCTCAGTGAGTAAGAATCCACCTGCCAATGCAGGGGACACAGGTTAGATCCACAAAGATTCCACATGCCGCAGAGCAACTAAGCCCCGTGGGCCACAACTACTGAAGCCTGAGTGCCCTAGAGCCCGTGCTCAGCAAGAAGAGCGACCACGATGAGAAGCCTGCACATACACAGCAATGAAAGAGTAGCCTCCGCTTGCTGCAACTAGAAAAAGACCCTGAGCAGCAACGAAGACCCAGCACAGCCAAAAATAAAATTTGTTAATTAATTTTTAAAAAACTTTCATCTTTATCTGGCCCCATATTTTGGGCACAGAGACACACTTTCCAAAACTGGTCTTCCCTCTTTTACTTCCAGAACTTAGCACATCATTTTCTTCTCTTCTGCTCTCTTTCCCAGACTCCTACCTGCCTCGGTGAGCTCCTATTCTTCCTTCAAAACCCAACTCCTAGGTGACCTCCTCCATGAAGCCTCCAGAAACCTGAGCCAAGTCCTCTAGCACATCCTTCCTCTATACCCTGACTGTGGTGGGCTGGGCCCTGCCTCTACCAATCCCAGGCTCACAGCTCCTTTCCAGAAGATCAACAAGAAAGCAAAAGATTCTTCAGAGAGCACTGTTTTCCAATTACAAGTTATGACTCCTAAATGGATTGTCAATGGACTTAAAAATTTCTTTCATGGGCTTTTCCTGGTGGTCCAGTGGTTAAGAATCCACTTTCCAATGCAGGGGACGTAGGTTCAATCCCTGATTGGGGAACTAAGATCTCACACACTAAGGGCAACTAAGATCAAGTGCTGTAACAACTGAGCTGTGAGCCTGTGGGCACAACTAAGATCTGATGCAACCATAAATAAATCAATAACTTAAAAATTTTTTTTCTTCTACGTTGTCTTTCATTTACATACCTAGATCAAAACATGCTTTTAAATAGCTGCCAGCATTTTGACATGTATTCAGCACTACACAGATTGGTGAAAAATATTATGGCTTCTTTTTATTTTTTGGCTGTGCAGTTTACAGGATCTTAGTTCTCCAACCAGGGATTAAACCCAAGTCCTCTTCCCTGGTGACTCAGATGGTAAAGAATCTGCCTGCAATGCAGGAGACCTGGGTTCTGTCCCCGGGCCAGGAAGGCCCTCTGGAGAAGGGAATGGCTACCCACTCCAGTATTCTTGCTTGGGAAATCCTGTGAACAGAGGAGCCTGGCAGGCTATAGTCCATGGGGTCGCAAAGAGTCTGACACAGCTGAGCAACTAACACTTCCACTTCACTCTTCAATGAAAGGGCAGAGTCCTAACTACCAAACTACCAGGAATTTTCTATGGCTTCCTTTTTATTCATTTATTTATTGCCACTGCAAATGTCCCAGAGATGACATTAAACACAAACTTTGCCAACCATATCTCTTTGGTCAAAGTTCCTAGAGGTACAATAGCAGGGTCAAGGCTAAAGTTTATTTGTGAATTGATGTCTTTTAAAATATTTTAAAATATCTATTTACTTGGCCGCACTGGGTCTTAGTTGCAGCATTCGAACTTTTAGTTGTGGCATGTGGGATCTAGTTCCCGGACCAGGCCAAACCTGGGCCCCCTGAATTAGGAGCACAGAATCTTAGTTACTGAACCACCAGAGAAGTCCCTGTAAATTGATTCTTTGACACAAGTTGTCAGCTTGCTTGCAGGCGGCCACAGAATGTGAGTTTGCCCACATTCATAAAAACAACAACAACAACAACAACTCATTTTTAACTCCTGATTTGAGAGGCCAAAAAGAAAAAAATACATTGTTTTCTTTTGGGCTTTAAAAAAGAAAAACTTCTTATATGAATAGGCAGACTACAGCCCCCCTGAGTCAAATCCAGCCCACTGTCTTTTGTATGGCCCATGTGCTAAGAATGATGTTTACAATTTTAAAAGGTCACAAAAAGGGAATTCTCTGGTGGCCCAGTGGTTATGACTCAGATTCCATTGCAGGTGGCAAGGGTTCCATTCTTGGTTGGGGAACATCCCGGAAAAAAAAAAAAAAAGGTTTCAAAAATTAAAACAAGGACAATGTCTTGTGACATGTGACAATTAACTTGAAATTCACATTTTGGTGTCCACCAATAAAGTTGTATTGGCATTCAGCCATGCTCTTCCGTTTACATATCATCTTGGCTGATTTCTAGCTACAAGGGCAGAACTGAGTAGTTTTGAAAGAGGTCATGTGGCTCCCCAAAATCCAAAACTATCTATTTGGGCTTTCCAGGTAGCTCAGATGGTAAAGAATCTGCCTGCCAATACAGAAGACAGGGATTTGATCCTTGGGCTTGATCCCTGGGTCGGGAATATCCCCAGGAGGAGGGCATGGCAACCCACAGTAGTACTCTTGCCTGGAGAATCTCATGGACAGAAGTCTGGTGGCCTATATAGTCCATGGGGTCGCCAAAGAGTTGGACATGACTTAGCAACTAAACAACACTGTCTATCTGGCCTTCACAGAAAGAGTGTGTGGGGGCTCAGTGGTAAAGGATCCGCCTGCCAATTCAGGAGACACGGATTGGATCCCTGATCGGGGAAGGTCCTACATGCTGCAGAACAAATAAGCCTGTGCACCACAACTGCTGAGCCTGTGCCCCAGAGGCCATGCTCCACAGCAAGAGAAGCCACTGCAATGAGAAGCTTGAGTACCACAACTAGAAAGCAGTCCCTGCTCATCGCAACTAGAGAAAAGCCTCCACAGCCAAAAATAAATACATAAACTTTATATATATATATATATATATATATATATATATATATATAAGGAGTTTGTGGATCCCTGAAGTATGTGCCTTATTAGCTGTAGTGATGGGGTTAGGGAACTCAGAAGTGTGTTGGAGGAGAAAGTCTCTTCTATAACAACTCAGATTCAATTCCCCATGCCTTGATCTATTTGCCAAAGCCTTTTGAGTAGAATAAAAGACATTCTAGGGGATTCCCTAGTGGTCCAGTGGTTAGGACTCGGCACTTTCACTGCCAGGGCCTGCTTTCGATCCCTGGGGTCGGGGAGCTAGGATCTCACAAGCTGCAGAGCCAAAAAAGAAAAAAAAAAAAAAAGATGTCCAGGGTAAATACTGTCTGGTCAAACTTCTGTTTCTGTCTGATAAGTATCTGGAAAGGCAGGTATCGGATGCTAATGATGTAGAAATCTCTGTCTGAATACGTGTCATGACCAGAATTGATTCTTAGACTTACAGCCTTGGCGAGTTATCTGCAGGCTATTCAATTTTCCACATTTAGAGACGGGCTGAGGGCTTCCCCGGCAGCCCAATGGTTAGGACTCTGTGCTTCCACTGCAAGAAGGCACAGTTCAATCTCTGGTCCAGGATCTAAGATCCTGCAAGCCCCAAGGCACAGCAAAAAAAAAAAAAAAAAAAAGAGACAGGTTGAAGAAGAAGGATAGCATGGAGGGGAATTTTGCACAAGAGCACATGGATCTGGATGCAGCCCACACCTGAGCCAGCCCTCTCTCCATGCCTTCTGTGGGGTGGGGCTGGAGATGGAACTTTCTGGACTGCTGGGGAAAGCAGAGAGGAGGGTTCCAGAACCCCCAACCCTCTTCTCTGCCTCTAGGCATTGACATATTCAGCCCCCTCTCATTTTATAAGAAAAGGCCATTGAGGACCAGGAACAGTCTGTACCTCAAAAGCTGGGGCAACCTCAGCGACGCCTTGGTTCTGGAACTCTCATGTTTCAGCTCTGGAAAATGGTGAGGTCAAAGGTAACAGAGTCAGAGCAACTTGGGTATCGTGGCACTGAACTCCCCCCTCTCCAAGAAAAAAACCTCTCCTGGATGTGTCAACTTCAAATCCCACCTCTGAGTACCAGGGCAACCCTGGGCATATCCTTCAGTCTCCCTGAATGCCTGTTACATCACCTGGAAAATGGAATTAACTAACTCCATATACTATGGATGCATGCTAAATTGCTTCAGTTGTGTCCAATTCTTTGCAACCCCATGGACTATATAGCCCATCAGGATCTTCTGTCCATGGGATTTTTCAGGCAATAATATTGGAGTGGGTTGCCATGCCCTCCTCCGGGGGACCTTTATATGTGATGCCTAATTCCCAGGGAAGATTAAATGGGGTTTTTCAGGCCAAATATTTAGGACGATGCCTGACACACAGTAAGTGCTCAATAAAGGCCATTACATGCAAGATTGCATGCTCATCATTTATTGAGCATGTACTATGTGCAGGGCACAGAGTAAAGGATGTTTCCTCATTACCCACCATCCTGGGGGCTCCAGGAAATGTCCCCAGCACCCCACACAGGATAGCAGAGCCGCACGTGCCTTTGGTCACTCACGTCTTTCAAGCTTCAGTTAAATGCCACTGCCACTGACACATCCATCGACACAGGATTTTTGAGCTCTTTTGATGTGCCCCCATAGCAAGGGCTGGGGAAAGGATGACCAGTTATCCTGTTATACCTGAAACTGAAGGGTCTCCTGACATAAGACTTATGGTGCTGAAACCAAGACAGTCCCAGTAAACAGATGATTTAGTAACCCTGGGCTGAGAATATAGCTGAGAATAAAGTAGACATAACCACCTGCTCCAAGAAGTCCTCCCCGATCCACCCCTCCACCACTGGCTCAGCTTCTCTGAAGCTGCCTGTGCACCCCCCTTTAAAGCACCATCACCCTGGCTTGTGAATGCCTGGGGTAGCCTCTGTATCCTCCTCTCCAGGAGGGCAGAGAGGGCTCTTTTTCAGATCACTATTGCGAGGCTCCTGCCAAACAGAGACAGTCTGATGAATGAAAGCCAGCAAGGCAAGCCTTGCCTAACAGATGAGCAAAGCAAGGCCCAGAAAGGCGGGCCACTGGAGCAGGATTTCCCGGAGGTGGAGGAGCTGGGGCTTGAACCCCTGTCAGCTGCGACTGTCCTGCCAGCCCCCCGTCCCGGCCCCTCACCGTGTTGTAGAACTCGGCCACCAGCTGGGAGTACTGGAAGTTGGGCTCACACCAGTCCACCTCGGAGCTCTGGTAGGCGAAGATGCTGGGCATCTTGACACCTCACCTGCCGCCCGCTGGCTGCGTCTGGCAGAGAGCAGCATCTGAGCCTACAGAGAGACAGGCCCAGCCAAGGCGGGGAGAGGATGGCGGGGTGCCCTGCGGCACGCAGGTCGAGAGGAGGAAAAACCTGCTGGACGGCTCCCTGGTTGCACCAGGGACAGCCTGCCTGTGAGGTGGTGGCAGGTGCCCTGGGCGAAAGCAGAGGGGCTGGCACCATCCAGGGAGGGCAAGGGGGAGTGGGAAAGGGGCCTCCCTTCCCTGCTCCCTAGGAGTGGGAGTTAGGGAGACTGTTCCTTGGAACAGTAATTTTAAATACTGGTGATGTTACATCACCGTCCTCACTTTACAGATGGGCAAAGTGAGGCAGAGGGCAAGATCCTTTAAGGTGAGGACACCAAGATGCGCACACAGGCAGGCTCCTGATTCCAAGCTTCTAACCACTACCCAGATGCCACCAAAGCTACACACCACAGCCTCCCAGATCCAGGCCAAGAGCTGTGTACCTGCCCCAATGGACTCCACTCAGCTCCCTTGGGGGCCTTTGGTGATAGGACCTCCTTTGAGGGCCTCAGTCTTCCTGTCTGGGCTATGGGAGACTGGGGTGGATTGAAACCATTTCTCTTGGGCAGACAAGACCTCAAATACCTGGAGGGTCTGAGTTTCCAATGAATGGGAGGACACTGTGGAGTTCCAGGCCTAGGGTTCCCAGTCCTGACTTCCCAGGGCTGCGGAAAGCTCTGGTTTGAGAGTCAGATAGACTTGAGTTTGAATTCTGAGTTCCTCCCATTCCTAAGCTGTGTGACCATGGGCAAGTGAATGCACTTCTTTGAGCCTCAGTTTTTTCACCAGTAAGATGAGAAACAATAGTACTTCCCTCTTAGGGATTCTCTGAAGATTTAATAAGCTGATATAGCATTTCCCTAGGGAGAACATTTTTTGGTGAGGTGGACCTGCTTCAGAATCACTTAGCTGTGTGGTGAGAAATCGATTTACTCTTTTCAATTCTCAATTGTTACAGAAGTGGGGCTCATATATGTTTATGCCTCAACATTTCATCCCTTTGTTTGATAAAAAGCCCTTCAGCAGGCAACAGTATCCAGCTGGACCATCTAGACATTATTTACTTATACTGTATTTATTTTAAAGTAAGCTTGTCTTCCAGCTGTTCATAGCCACTTTCCACTCATGGCAGAGTTCTTACAAGTTTCTTCTTAAAAATAAACTGACTGAAGCCTTATAATGCTTGTGGTGGTTACAAAAATCTATACAGGTGAAAAAAACTGCATAGACAGATATAAATGCACAGATATGAATAATGACAAACTGTTGAAATCTGAATAAGGTCTATAAATCACACTGACATAAGTTACTTGGTTTTGAAATTGTATCATTATATAATATGTAACCCAGGTAAGAGAAATTGGAGAAATATGATAGAAGGATACAGATCTGTCTGTACACTTTTTGCAACTTCTTGTGAGTGTACAATTATTTCAATATAAAGAGTTTTTTAAGTAACTGGTTTGGGGTTTTCATTGGTGGTCAACAAAATGTGGTCCATCCAAGCAAAGGGATATTATTCAATGTTAAAAAGGAAGATTCTGATACCTGCTGCAATATGGATGAACTCTGAGGATATGATGCTCAGCGAGAGAGAAGCCTGTCACAAAACGACAGATACTGCCTGATCCTACTCACAGGAGGTCCCTAGAGGACCTCAAACCATAGAGACAGGAAATGGGGGCCAGGGGCTAGGGGTGCGGGGTGGGGAGTGGGGAGTGGGTATTTAATGAGCACGGAGTTTCAGCTTGGGAAGATAAGAAAGTTCTGGAGGTGAATGGTGGGGATGGTTGCACAACATGTGATGCTACCTAATGCCACTGAACTTAGGCTCAAAACCGGTTAAGACAGGGACTTTCCTCGTGATCCAGCAGTTAAGAGTGTGCACTCCCAATACAGAGGGCACAGTTTCCATCCCTGGTTGGGGAACTAAGACCCTGCATGCTGCAGGGTGTGGCTAAAAAAAATTAAGATGGTACATTCCATGTATGTATATTTTACCCCAATTTTAAAGTAATTGATCTAGGTTTTTAAAGGAGGTGTTATTTGACAAAATACCTTAAGTAGATAAGAGTTTAGGGAGCGGGTGGATATAGGAAAATCTTGAGGGTCATCTGTAAAGTCAGAAACTTGGGAACTATTGAGTTGTGTATGTATGCTGATGGTTTAGCCCAGAGCTGGCACTGAACTAAAAGAGGCTTTTATACCACCATTACCACCATCACCATCATCATAACCTGTTTTTGTTGTTCACTCAGTTGTGTCCGACTCTTTGTGACCCCATGGACTGCAGCATGCCAGGCTTCCCTGTCCTTCACCATCTCCCAGAGTTTGCTCAAACTCATGTCCATTGAATCAGTGATGCCATCCAACCATTTCATCCTCTTTCATCCCCTTCTCCTCTTGCCTTCAATCTTTCCCAGCATCAGGGTCTTTTCCAATGAGTCAGCTCTTTGCACCAGGTGGCCAAAGGACTGGAGCTTCAGCTTCATCATCAGTCCTTTCAGTGAATATTCAGGGTTGATTTCCTTTAGGATTGCCTGGTTTGATCTCCTTGCTTTCCAAGGGACTCTCAAGAGGCATCTCCAGTATCACAGTTCAAAAGCATCAATTCTTTGGCACTCAGCCTTCTTTGTGGTCCAAATCTCACATCTGTACATGACTACTGGAAAAACCACAGTCTTGACCATATGGACCTTTGTCAGCAAAGTGACATCTCTGCTTTTTAATATGCTGTCTAGGTTTGTCATAGTTTTTCATCCAAGGAACAAGCATCTTTCAATTTCATGGCTACAGTCACCATACACAGTGATTTTGGAGCCCAGGAAAATAAAATCTGTCACTGTTTCCAGTTTTTCCCTATCTATTTGCCATGAAGTGATGGGACCGGATACCATAATCTTAGTTTTGAATGCTGAGTTTTAAGCCAGATTTTTCACTCCCCTCTTTCACCCTCATCAAGAGGCTCTTTAGGGACTTCCCTGGTGGTCCAGTGGTTAAGACTCCATTCTCTTAACGCAGGGGACCCAGGTTCAATCCCTGGTCAGGGAAATATATCCCATGTGCTACAACTAAGGGCTTCCCTGGTAGCTCAGATGGTAAAGAATCCAACTGCAATGTGGGAGACTTGGATTCAATCCCTGGATTGGGAAGATCCTCTGGAGAAGGGGCCGGCTACCCACTCCAGTATTCTTGTCTGGACAATTCCAGGGACAGAGGAGCCTGGCAGGCTGTAGTCTATGGGGTCACAGAGTCAGACACAACTGAGCGACTTTCACACTCACACTTCACATAAGCAAAGACCCAGCATGGCCAAGTAAATTTTAAAAGGAAAAAAAAAAAAAGAGGCTCTTTAGTTCCTCTTCACTTTCTGTCATTAGAGTGGCATCATCTACATATCGCAGGTTGTTGATATTTCTTCCAGCTTGTGAGTGATCTAGCCCAGCATTCCACATGATGTATCCTGCATATAAGTTAAACAGGGTGACAATATGCAGCCTTGCCGTATTCCTTTCCCAATTTTGAACCAGTCAGTTGTTTCATGCAAGGTTCTAACTGTTGCTTCTTGTCCTGCATACAGGTTTCTCAGGAGAGAGATAAGGTGGTCTGATAGTCCCATCTCTTTAAGAATTTTCCACACATCACCATTATCACCATTATCATCACCACCTCCATCATCACCATCATCTACAAGACGTCAAATACTTTGATGTTCACACTCTGCCAGGTACACCGTCACCTTCAAGATCCTCTAAAGGGATGGAAAAGATGTCACATTTAGAGGTGACAAGTTTCCAGAGCCTGGATTAAAAACTTGGCTTGGCTCCCTACTCCTCTAGATCAGCAGAAACCTCACCTGTGGTCACAGCCCACGACCGTCACCATCACCCCAGCCTCTCTGAGCCCAGTTGGAAGCAGACAGCCTCCCGCGTCCCTCCCTAGTCAAATCTGGGCCAGGAATAGTCGTCAGGATCTGGTTCTCCTGGATCCCGGTCAAGGTTTAACAGCTGGAAGCAAGATGATGAGATGCCTACGCCCAGCCCCGCGTGGAGTTTGGGAGCTTGCCCGCACACGTGGATGGGGCAACAGGATGGTGAGACAGGTGCGTGGGTGCTGTAGGGGTGGTGCTCACCTCCTGCCAGATGGCAGGTGTGGGAAGTGCCAGAGGCTGGGTGGAGAGGTGACAGGTCTCCGTGGGCATGCAATAAATTAGCACAGACGGCAACTTGAGACAACACACCTTTCCTATCCTACGGTGCTAGAGATGAGGAATTCGAAAGGAATCTTATGGGACGAAAATCCAGCTGTGGGCAGGGCTGTCTCCTTCTGGAGGCTCCATGGGAGAGTCCAAACTCTAGATTTTCCTAGTTTCTAGGGGCCATCTACATCCCTGGCTCATGGCCCCTTCTTCCATCTTCAAAGTACATCATCCCCTCTTTGGATGTCATCATTTTACTCCATCTTACCCCCTTTTCTCTGATCTGAACTTGCTTATAAAGACTCTTGTGAAGACTGGATCCGCTATGTAAGACAATCTTCTCTCAGGATCCTCAATTCAATGACACTTTTGCCATGGAAGGGCTTCCTTGGTGGCTCAGAAGGTAAAGAATCTGCCTGCAATGCAGGTTCAATTCCAGGGATGGGAAGATTCCTTGGAGGAGGGCATGGCAACACGCTCCAGTACTCTTGCCTGGATAATCCCACGGACAGAGGAGGCTGGCGGGCTACAATCCATGGGGCTTTGCCATGGAAGGTAACATATTGCCAAGTTTCAGTAACAAGGATGTGGACATTTGGAGGGAACTAATCATCTACTTGGACTTCCCAGGTGGCTCAGGGGTGAAGAATCCACCCGCACTGCAGGAGACTCAGGTTCCATCTCTGGGTTGAGAAGAACCCCCGGAGAAAGAAATGGCAACCCAGCCTGATAT